GTTCGTCATTGTGCTTCATCTTTCAGTCGCCGAACATGCCCCAGGAAGTCCAACCTCTTTTAGCTTTTGGGAGAACTATAAATCCCTCCACCCCTCATGGCCATATATAAAGCTGGATTTACAGTACAATCAATTCCGAACTGTGCACAGAAAAGCCATCGTGGAAGGGGGCATCTTCTCAAATGTTTCACAGCATCTTTAAATTCTTACACCGCATGGTCAGTATTCCAAGTCCTACGATTATTATCCCACAGCCCCAGCTCCTGCTCATTGATAGGGCTGCAGAGTCACTCTTGGCGCCATTTGCCTAGCTTTGGTCCAATTGCTTGACTCGACCATGTCAAGACTAAAACAGATGGATGCCCAGCAAAACAAAGACTTCATGACAGAATGAGGGCAACAACGTGATCACCCAGCTGCATTGCAGCATGAAGGTCGTGGTGCGCCACCTTGACTGCCCTGTCCACTCGTGTCTGCACGTGCGTGAGCAGAACGGAAACAATGGTGTATATTGCGCATCCACGTGTTGATCAGGCGGCGGTTTGCTCATGTACTCCGCGATGCTGCTCTTCGCATGCATCTGGGGTGTGGCATCCATGAGGCGGCAGAGACGAGGATATATCGCGACAGCGTGCAACTGCACCGGTGCAAATAGCAGCTGATGTTGAACACCAGCCCTTTTCAGTTTCGGGCCATTGCTGCGCATTTGGCCATGTGCCTTGCGAAACATATTACAGGTCCCCCAAGTGGCGGCAGTTGAGGCGACTGTCATGAGAAACGTACTTCTTACTGTGTACCAGATTGCTAGCTTCCCTCAGAAGTGGCGTCTTGGCTGCTGCACAGCAACCGCGTCTCCGAGAAACCGTCTGATCGAGCCAGCGCAGCACGGCGAAAACAGGGGAACACGGCTGGTGTTGCTTGCGGTGTTCCTAGAGTGGGTGGGCGCATGACACAAGCGTCGACACAGGCTCACACAGGCGTCGACACGGGAGCGCAGAGTTCAGGTCCGTGGGACGACGGCGGTCGTTGAGTGGACCAGACGCCGCGGAACACACGGGTACGCGTGTCGGGTTCCTCGTGTGACGTTGGTTCTCGAGATCGGCCATTTGTCTCTTCTTCCTTCGCGACACGTCATTTTGGAGGGTCTAGGGAGCCCCTCCCTCTCCCCCGTATGTTGTCAGTGCCTATTCGCGTATGGTGGGGGCGCAGTCGCAGGCGCAGAGGCCTAGATGGACCTGAAAGGCGGAAGACGGAGGTTATGAGCGAATAGAATGGCTAGAGATGGCAAAGTGCCGAACAGGCGACAGGGGGCGCTGTTGTGGTCATTGTACATGTAGCAAACTGGAGGAGCCGCATCCATGAGTGAGACGACGGCGTGCGATGATACTTTCCGTCGAGGTCTCTCGAAGCTTTATGCCTTGGCACTTTACTTGCACTTTGCCATGGGCCTCTTCTCTCATGCCGAGATGGACAACCGTGGCAGTGCGTATCCCTGTGCTCACAGGCTGGAGTGCCGATTCGGTTGCAATTGATCTTCGTTTCCAAGGGGGGCCAAGCCAGCGTCCCATTTGCAATCTCTCCCTTGTCTCCTCTACTTTAGGCCCCCAAACGCCAGGAGGATCCTATGGATCACTCTCCATTTAGAGTGCGAACGGAGTGGGCCATGACTGTTGTTAGTATGTTTTCGTTCAGGCTTGGCGGGTCATAATCTGGCCACTCTGCCGAAGCCTTTGACCCAAGGAGCCCAGGAGTTGGGATGCATGTCAGATTTTCCGCACACGGCCCCAGGCGGGGAAATGTGATAGGGGCCACGCAAACCTGCCGGAGATGCTGAGCTGCACCGAATTGAGTTGACGGACATCATGCTAGACGGACGTTTGCCAAGTGATGCGGGCCGCGCTCACGCCTGGACAAGGCTGTCCTGGGATCTATTCTATATGGAGTCCTGGACTTAGGTTTAGGCTCCAGCGATTCGACCAGGACGCCAGATGGAGGCGAAAGCAGGGAGCCATACAGACTCGGAGCAAAACAGCATGCCGAAGCCGTTCCTAGTACACATGTGCGACCACACGGGCTGTACTTGGTACGGACAGAGGCATTGATTGACAGCCGTCGCGACACCGGATCTGTCTGATCGGCGTCAACATCTGCCCTTCGAGCAGCATAGCCTAGGCTGACTTGTTTCGTCGAGCCCAAGCCGACATCACTCCGGCCCAGAGCTGACGACAATAAAACTCCCCCAACCCACGACAAGGGAAACTCAAATCGCATCCATCCACCCACCTCCCTCGCAACGTCCCCCTAAACGGCAGCCTGGCGTTCCGGTGGAGCACTGCCGTGTTTTCCACATGGCGGAGCCTGTTGTTGGTCGTTGTTTGCGTGGCCGAGCCTCCCATTCCGCAGCGCGAAGCATGTTTCTTCGTGTGTAGCCCGCTTTCTACTGGCCGCCTCGCCCGCACCACGCCCGAAATCCTGCTGCCTGTCAGGTGAGACGACCATAAGTGATACCCTGCGGTACTCACAGGGTGACTACAACTATTGACAGGAGCTGATTCTACGCTGGTAGCGAAGCTGGTTCCACGCCTGTCCTCTTTCCGGCTCCCAGGGAGG